ATAAATTTTAAGATGGTTTTTTTCTAATTCTGTGAAGAGTGTTGCTGGTAATTTGATTTGAAATGCCGCATGTACATGCACACGGGAACAGGGGATGTCTTTCCATTTTTTGACTGTCCTCTTCAATCTCTATTTCTAAGTGTACTATCATTTTCATTTTAGAGTCTTTTACTTCTTTGGTTAGGTTGATTCCTAGGTATTTTGGCAGCTATGGTGAATAAGATTATTTTCCTGATTTCTTTCTTAATAGGTTCACTGTTGATGTACAGGAACACTACTTTGTGTGTGTGTGTGTGTGTGTGTGTGTGTGTGTGTGTGTGTGTTTGTTTGAGATAGGGTCTCACTATGTAGTTGAGACTGACCTGGAACTCACTATGTAGCTCAGGCTGGTCTCGAACTCACAGCGATCCTCCTGCGTCAGCCTCTGGAGTGCTGGGATTACAGGCATGAGCCACCACGCCTGGCTATGTTGATTTTGTATCCTAACACTTTGCTGAACTTGTTTATTAGCTCTAAAAATCTGTGGGTGAAGTTTTGTTGGATCATCTCCGTAAAAGATTGTGTCATATGTGAAAAAGGATCCCTTTTATTTCTTCCTCTTATCTGATTTCTCTTGACATTTTTTGTTTTATTCATCATTTATATTTTATTTCTTTGATTCTGCTCTTTATTTTTTCCCCCTTCATTTACTTTGAGCAGAGTCTATGCTTTCTTTTTTCTTGAGGAAATCAGATTTTAGGCCTTTCTTTTCCACCATAAACATTTAAAGCTGCTAAAGTATAAGTGCTTATATTAAATCTTTATATTTAAAAGTTGCAACTATTCTCAAATTTTGGTGAATGGCATTTAATTGTCACTTATTTTGAGATATCTTTAAATTTTCCTTTTGTTTTCTTCTTTGACCATGAGTAACTTAGAAATCTATTGCTTAATTTGTGTATTTTTTATTAATTTCTGATTTAATTTTTTACATTGTTTTTGGTTTAGAGACTATAAACTATTTTTTTCACTCTTTAAAAAATTTATAGAGGCTTGGGCTGAGCATTTAGCTCTGTGTTTCTGCCACCTGCCTCACAAGTGCAAGGTCCTGAGTTCGATCCCCAGTACAATAATAAATAAATAAACGAATAAAATTTATTGAGGCCTGTTTTAGCTTCACGCAGAAAAAAAATATATTTTTAATATTTTTTTTTGTAAAGTGTAAATGGCAATTAGGTCTGACTGGTTTTATAATGCTCATTCCTTTTTGTTTCTTATGTTTTTTATAGTCAGGTACTAAACATTATAGTTTTATCTACTTTTCCTTTTAAATGTTCCATATTTGCTTGTGAATGTTTTTATTTAACTAGTATTTTATTGATACCTCATGAATTCAATGGTTCATCTCTCTGAGGATATTAAGTATACTTTTTGCAGTTTTCTTCAATATCCTGTATTATATCTCCCCCTTGAGTTCTATTTCTGTTCTGGGTTATAGTTTTTGGTTTGGTTTCATATTAGAAGCTTTTCTCCAGGGCTGTTCATAAATATGATGCACAAAAATGTGGATTGGAACTTGAGTGCATTGTCCGTGCGTGGCTTCATGGTGGCCTGACAAAAGAGGATCTGGCTCTTGTTGGGGACCAGCAAATGTCATGATTTGTATCAGAATTGTGCTGCTCTGTTGATTGATGGTTACCATCCTACTGTTTTTTTCTTTTTCTTTTTCTTTTTTTTTTTTTTTTTTTTTTTTTTTAAGGGTCTCACTATGTAGTTGAGTCTGACCTGGAACTCACTATGTAGCCCAGGCTGGTCTCGAACTCACAGTGATTCTCCTGCCTCAGCCTCCCGAGTGCTGGGATTACAGGTGTGCGCCACCATGCCCAGCCATCCTGTTGTTCTTTCTGGGAGCCAAGTATGTAAGTGGGGCTGGAGTTTCAAACACTGGAGTGATACTTTCACTGAAACCCCCCATTTTTCAACCGAGTGTTCACTTCACAGTGTTTCAGTTATATCTTAAAGGCCCAATTTGAAATATTTCTTGGAGGTATATTTTCTCAACGGCTGCAACAAAGCTTGGTTAAGTAAACTTCTGGTTCCTAGGGAAGGAGTGGTTGATTATAATCCATGCTTATAGTGGCTACTCTTCTTTTTATTCCAGTTCTTTACCAACCTTTATGGGTAAACAGTGAGGCCAATTTCCCACACTTTTCAGATATTTTAAAATTTAATTTTAATGCTACATTTAAGGTATACAATATAATGACATCCATCGTTGGAAATTTGCACCTTGACATAATCCATCTTGGTTCTTATTTTTTTCCCCATTCCCCTGCCCTCCCTTCAACCCCTCCACCCAGCCTACTGAACTTTTTGTTACAAGATTAACTTTGACAGTTCCATAACTGGACAGTTTTGTTTGCCACACAAACAGGAAGGATTGGATGTCTGGGCTTACAGGGCTAGAATTTTCCATTTTTGGGGGGGTGCATTACTTATTTATACTCTTTGCTCATCCGTATTGATTGTTTAATTGCTTTGTGACTTTGTTCAACTTTCCCAAACACTTAAAATTTTGGCACAATGAACCTGCCAACCTATCTCTGTAGGATTTATGTTTTCATTTTAAGAACTCTTTCCCTATGCCAAAGTCATAAAAATTGTGAAACAAAAACACAAGGCTCAATTTAAAATTTGCTGTTTTTGTTTTTTTTAGTTATTTGATTCACAGAGAACACATTTTTGTATATGATTTAAGATAGAGAAATGATTTTTTTTTTTTTCTGAATGGTAGGTCAGTTTTTCTAGAACCACTTAAATCATCTACCTTTTTCCCACAGATGCTATCTTATTTTCTCCCTTACTTGAAATTGCCACTTGATTCCTCAAGGCCTAGAATAATAGTTCCTTGGGACAGGAGTTCTCTAAGATCAACTGATTTGATTCCTCAAGGCCTAGAATAATAGTTCCTTGGGACAGGAGTTCTCTAAGATCAATTGAGAAGTAGGGGAAAATAGTTTCAGGGTCCCTCATCAAGTCCCAGCTCTTCACTGAGTCCCAGGATAACGGCACAGCCTTGGGGAAAGTGTCTCAGTCCAGGCACCTCCCCATGCGTCCACTCCTGCCTCCCAAGACTGAGGTGGCCCAAGGCAGAGAGCTACCAAATATATTATTCTGCACGGCATAATTTTGGTAACATGTGTCTTCTTTTTTTTAAAACAGCTTTATTGAGGTACAACTAATACGGAAAAGCATATATTAAATATGCACAACTGTATGAGTTTGGAAAAAAACATGCATTTGTGAAGCCTTTACCAGTCAAGGTAATGAGCATATCCATCACTTCCAAAAGTTTCCTCCTGTACCCCAACCCCTCACCTTCTTGTGGGAAAAACGCTTAATACAAGAAGATCTACTCTGTTAGCAATTTTTTTTTTGTACCGCAAATCAAACTCAGGACTTTGCATTTACCAGTGAGGCACGGTCACTGAGATAAACCCCCAGCCCCAACAAATTCTTAGTATATAGTAAATTACTGTTGACTACAGGCATGATGTTTTATAACAGGTCTCTAGAACTTATTTATCTCGTATACTCGTGGAACAACTCATTTCCCCTTCCCCCAGCCTCTGGGAACCACCATCTTACTCAATGTTTCTGAGTTTAATGATTTTAGATCCCACATGTAAGTGAGATTATGCAGTATTTTTCTTTCCATGTTTGGCTTATTTCACTTAGTATAATGTCTTCCAGATTCACTTGTGTTGTTACATATAGAAGGGGGTCCTATGTGAAAAAAGGAAAAAATGGAAACAAGGTCTTTGTAAATAGGGAAGTGAAGGGGGTGAAGGGAGGGCAGGGGTAGGCGAAAAAATAAGAACCAAGACATATCACGTAAAGGCACAAGATCCCAGTGATAAATGTAACTGTATGGTTTGCTTTAAATGTACCAATAAACTTAACAGGGGAAAAAAATAAAAGGCTTTCCTCTTTTGAATTAAGGCTGAACCATGTTGCACTGTGTGCTAACAACACATTTTATTTATTCACTTGTTCGCGAACACTTCAGTTGTTTCATATCTTGGATTTTATGAATACTTCTGTAAAGGATATCTTTCAAGATTGTGATCTCACTTCTTTTGGATATGCATCCAGAAGTGGGATTTCTGAATCTTATGGTAGATCTATTTTGAATTTCTTTTCTTCTTTTTGCTACCAAGGATTAAACTCAAGACCTCTCACTTGCCAGGTGGGCGCTGTGCCGCTGAGCTAAATCCCTGGCATTATTTTGTCCTGCCTTCCGCAGTGGCTATACCACTCGGCATTCCCATGAACAAGGTAAAAGGTTCTAATCGATTTACATCCTTGCCAACCCTCTCTCCCTCCCTCCCTCTCCCACCTCTCTCTCCCTCTCCACGGATAAATATAAAGGTGGCTAAGTCACTAGTGACCAGGGAAGTGCAAACCGGAGTTGCACTGAGATGCTGCCGTACACTGTTGAGATGGTTGTTACACCTGCGTCTTGCCTGCCTGGCTCTGAGCTCTCGGTCCCCACCTTTCTCCCCATTCTCTAGCGGGCACAGGCCTCATAGGTCAAACAACTCTCCCAGATTGTTTTCCCCTACATTCGGCCTAAGTCTGCTTTCAAAGGGGCTTTAAAGCTATGATGGAATGGAACAAAGAAAATTAAACTATGTATTGAATTCCCTTCTTCAACACTCAGTCCCACAAAATATTGTAACATTTAATTACATATTTGCTTTCATTCAAGTTAGCACAGCTATAAATCATAAATGTTCTACAAAAGCAAACGTGCTTAGCTAGAACAAATGTTACAAAGGATAAAAATAAATACACAAATATACTAATCGTATGAAATACAGATTATTTTATAAAAATGTGTGTATGCACACGATAATTGACTGTATTGGACAGTAGACTAAATTTGATTTTTTCTTAATAATTAGAAGATTTAACTGATTACAGCTATTATGTGTTATTCAAATACGCACATTGCCAAGAGAGAAAGTTTTCTGTAAGCTGGGAAAATGTTTAAATGTCCTGATTGAGGACTTTTGACACGATCTCAGAAGAGGTTCATAAAACATTTAGTGTCAGCCTCTCACTCAATAAACACTCAGTGATGAGTTAAAGGGAAATACGACGGGGTGATGGGAAAACACCTTGGATTGCTTCATCTATCTTATTTGGCACCTGTCTGTCTCAATTATTCACTCCTTCATTTCCAACACCTACGACAGCACCTAGCAGTGAATACAAGTGTACCATGCAAACAAGTACCACGCCGATACTTCATCAAAGGTGCCCGAGACAGACTCAGGATGGGCATCATTTAGTTCAGAAGAAGATATCTGTCATGCAGAGATGTTATGAGTGCATGAAAGGAAAATTCCACTACACTGTTGGGGCTGAGTATCCAGTGACACCTTTAGACTGAAAATGGGACAATACTTGAAGAGAGAAGAAATGTTTGGAATTTGTGCCTGCAAAAATCCTATTGGTGCATTTTCCATATCAGATGCAATAAAGCAGATAGCCAGAAACTAGAAGTATGTATGAGAGCATTGGTTGTCACAGCCATGTCACTGTAAGATTTGGGCCAGTGAGACACAATTTCTGCAATTGTAAATTGTGTTAGGAGCGTCTGCTTTACAGAACTCATCAGGATTGAACAGAGTTGAAATTGATGTATCCTGTTCCTTAATAACCTGTTATCAGCAAAATGTCCTTTCTACAATCAACACTGAAAGCAGGGAACAGGAACCAGGAACGTTGCTGTGGTAGGTCCGGAGAGGGAAGCTTGAGTCTCCCTCAGGAGAACTTGCTGAGCAGCTAGTCAGCCAATGCCTCCCTGGGTGGCACACTGGGGCTCTGCCACACACTTGAAAGACATGTTTTCTTCCACATTAGTCCTGAACTCAGCATGGAGGGGTGCTGAGGAGGCCTGACCATTTCTGCCTAGTGTGCGACTCTGCTGTGGATAATCTCGGAACTCACCCAGGGTCAGCCAAGACTCTCCCAGAGCCGCTGCTTAGACCTAAGCTTTCCTTACACTCTACCCCTGCTTCCGTCTCTGCTTGCCTCTGTTCATCATCCTCTTTATCCCGCTGCAGAAAGCAGTTTCTTCATAAAACTTTCCTCGTTCAACCCAGACACCTGACTTCCCACTGACTCTGAAGAACGCGGAACAGGTGCTTGGTCGGCAGATGCTAAGATCTCCTCCCACAGAGCTCGCTGTCTCCTCTTTCAGAGAAAATCCTGGACATTGTGTTGGTCTCGTTGGATTTGCTTGCCTTTCACTTCTATTTTATTTCTGTGTCAAAGTTCCAATTTCATGATACTCCATGAATTCTAAGCCTCAGTAACATTTGAAATCATGTTGCACCATTAATTTCAACTGTATTTTTTTTTTTTACCAAACTTATGCCACTATGAGAATTTATTTGTTTTAAAGTGGAGAAGTCTGTGTTTTCAAACTGTTTCTCTTAATCTTTTCCCTTGGCTGTAAAATTCCACAGGGCACAGAATATGGCCATGAAGTCGCACTCACAAGGAGCCAGGCAAGATGTGTTACAGTCTGGGATCACTTCTTCCATTGAGTAGATCAATAACTTCATCGAACCTCCTCTTGCTCATCTGTACTACAAAATAGAAACAATAAAATATTCATCTTAAAGGTAGATGCTACCCGTAGATCCCTCTGTAAGCTTTCTGCAAGAGTCAACACTAACTGCCTTCCGGTTGGACTGGGATACCATGTGCTGAGTTCCTTTCTGTGAATTTGCTACTTGCATTTGGCTTAAAGTTACTGTAAGCAGAATATGCATACCACAGAGAGAGAGAGAGAGTACTTCGAATTTCTGGTGTTAAGTTGATATTCTCCAATTTTCTTGTTTCTCTTTCCATATTCCTTCCCTCTAACCACATTTCCAGGATCACAAATAAGACAGAGCCCACATGTGGCAGCATCTCTGGTGTAACGAATCATCCAAATACCTTCAGGCACCAGCTCAGGGAGGCTTCTCTGTGCTGCAGAGAGCACAGGGTGGGGAATCTCTCCAAGCGCGTGGCACCAGCCGACATCTTGTGACCTTGCTGCTCATCTGTAATGTGAGTATAAGGACCCTGTTTACAGCTTTTTGTTTAGCAAATACTTTGGAAAACCTGGTTTTTAATTTCTGCAGGTTCCAAGTATCTCCTCTGTGCTTTCCACTTTCAAAATCATGACTGATTTCCCAGTTTGCATTACGGAACAGTATTCTTTTATACAAAGTCAACAAAGTCATCGCTTGAAGAGCCACGCAGTAGTCTTCTGAAATAAATGCAACACGATATAAACATGGACTCCACTGAGCCAGGGACAAACAGCAACCAGGCTACCAAGGCGAGAAGCGTCTGGCAAGAGGCAGTGGCTGAGTGAGGTAGCACTGCTCCCTGCGGATGCCACTCTTGTCTTTCCCGTCAATGAGTGTGATAGGAAAATACTTGTAGTGTTCAATGATGTCTTCCACGGAATCAAACTTCTGAAACACGGAAAGGAATGTGAATGATTTTTAACATATTTTCATCTGCTGTTATATACTCTAGGTCACTCAGAGACCAGATGAACTCACCTCCTGATGTTTGCATTGTCAGGGAGTGACCTTTCTTTACAGGGGTGTGACGGACAAGCCCTTAAAGGATGCATGAAAAGAATGAGAGGATGGCCGGGGAAGATAAATGAGCCTGTGGAAATCTCGTTTTCCTATCCATGGAGCCTTCCCCAGAATCAAGACTGCATGGGTCATGGTCCACCACCACCTTCCCATCCGAAGCCACTCAGATGGGTTAATTAGCAGCAAGCAGCCCCGTGAGAATCCCGCTGCCTCCCTAGCCGTGCCCCTAACCGTGACCAACCCAAACGGAGATGAGGCAGGCTTGAACTTAGAGAATTGGTTGGAAGTGCCCATGTGGAGCTTCTGCCCACGTGTCCTCCATTCTAATGAGTCCTACTGCCCATGGAAGGAACGGTGACAGCCACAGGGCTACTCATCCTTAGCCAATTTGGCTTTCTTCCTAGGGCTTCTTCTGAAATAATGAAGTGGCTGCAGATTTCACATTGCTAGAGATACAGATGGAGAGATACAGTGATTTAATAAAAAAGTAAGCTTATCTCAAATCTAGGGGAACCAGGAAGTTCTTTGTCCAGGGTATAAACTTGGACTTCCTGTTATGTGTGACTCTAAATAAGCAGACACAGGGGATTAAAAGATATTAAAAGTGAAACATGGACAAGAATGGGTGTTGGGAAATCTGAAGCACAGAGGGTAATTCTTGGATATGTTCCTGAAGGGAAATCTTGGGTGGTAACTAGGAAGAACCTGCTCTACCTGCTATCCATGCCTTAAGACAACTTTGATCCTCCTTCACAAGCTTGTGAGGTGCTGGGAAGGTAGAATTATTGGGAACTGCAGCCCAGAGAAGCAGATTAACTGGCCCAGAATCGCACAGACAGGGAGTAGGGCCAGGAACAGAGCCTCTCTCCATTTCAGCACCGAACTGTGGCTATGACCTCCGGTGTTCCCATCCAGTAGGGGAGAGGGCGGCACAGTCTGAGGGAAGGGAGCTGCAGTGAGAGACTTGATTCTGAGATAGTTTTGTCCATTTCTCCCTCTGCCCAGGACCTGGCAGGTGCAGAAATATTGGAAGGCCTCAGGGCTACCCAGCAAGGAACGAGATCACTGAGATCCCTGTCCTCCTCCTGGAAATCACTCTGTTCTGGGCGTGGATAGACAATGATTTGCTGTGCAAATAGATCCTTTCACTGAGGTGTATGCGTGGGAAAGTGAAGAACTCCAGTTTAACACCCTCGGCAACCCACCCAGCCTTCCCTGGGCTGCATGGGTCTGCCCGGTGACGTTCCTTTTGGTTAGGGGAGCACTATGTTGAAGCCGAGAACTCAGCAGCTGCAGGACACCTCCTTTCTCCCAGGCAGTGGGCGTACAGAGCAAGTATACAACACATGGGGGTGCGGCAGAAACAGGACAGGGAACTGGAGGAGGGGTTCTTGCCGTGAGCCAGTCCATCCGCTCCACTCCCATCCTTCCTGGTCCCTGGAGCCAGCACAGCTCCCCTCTCCCCAAAACACTGGACTTCGGCTTTGTCTTTTCCTACCAAAGCGGAGCTGATTCAGGCTGCAAGTGCCTTCCCTCTGCTGGCCTTACACTTGCTCTGGGGAACAGTTTTCAACCAGATAACATATGTTTCAGCCTGTCTCCATCTGTTCAGGGTGCTACCACAAAATATCATACACTAGATGGCTTATAAAAAACAGAAACTTGTTCCTCACAGTTTCCAAGGCTGGGAAGTTTAAGATCAACACAGAATCTGTGTCTGTAAAGGCCCACATCCTAGATAGATAGTGCCCTTTCATTCCAATCTTGTGTGGTGGGAAGGATGAGGTTCTCTGGGGTCTCTTTGATAAGGACCCCAAGCCCATTCATGAGGGCCCAACCTTCCAAAGGCCTCACTTCCTAATCCATTACCTTGGAAGGTTAAGATTTCACCATACAACTTTGGGGATCACCCGTACTCAGACCTTAGCACCATTCTTACTAGGTGTACGCTGCGTAAGACTTCCGGTTTGATGCTAAGGTGAGGTGGTTTCTTAACGGTCCAGCGGAGACAATAATCGTTCACCACGGCAGGTAGTCGTAAGCGAATTACTCCATAGTTTAAGTGCCTGAGTTCAAAGGCTCCTATCAGCTGTGTGACCTGGAGCAAATTTCTTACACTCTCTGGGTTCCAGTTTCTCTGTCCATGAACAGCGACAGTAACAGTAGGGCCTCCTGACAAGTTTCGATGGATTAGTGGGGTTGATAGAAGCATTTAGAACAAAGCATAACCCACGTTCCCGCACACAGGGGTCCTCTGCGAGCATCAGCAGAGACTATTCCTTCTCTCTTCTTAGGTTTGTCAAGAACCCTGCGAAGCCAGGCGCGGTGGGGCACGCCTGTCATCCCAGCACTCGGGAGGCTGAGGCAGGAGGATCGCTGTGAGTTCGAGACCAGCCTGGGCTACCTAGTGAGTTCCAGGTCAGTCTCAACTACACAGTGAGACCCTGTTTCCCCGCAAAAAAAAAAAAACCAAAAAACAAAAATAAAACAAAAACAAAAACCCTGCAAGAGCATGCATTACAGAAAAGTTTATAGACTATCACTGCGAGCTTTCAGGAGAAAGGGGGTTGGTGCAATTACAAACCAAGGGCAATTTTATTTGCTCTTCCTTAATACGTGAACAAAAACTGATTAATAGAAAGAAAGTTTTCATGTGCAGCTCTTTCACAAAATTGGTTCACAATGCTAAAGGGAAATCTCCTTTTTTGGTGTCAGTCTTCAGAGGGAAAATGCTTGTTTCTTCTTCTTATTTCTGTTTTTCTCAAATAATGAGTTCAGTATTCATTGTTTTAATCATCTGCTACATGGATGATATTTTATTTGAAATTATAATTTTAATAAGTAGCATGAAGCCAGGCAAGTGCAATTAATCATGTTGTCACTTATTATTATTGGTGGCTAGGGATGTGCCCACAGCAGAATATTGCCTTAAAGAGATTTTCAAAAAAAGATTATAATTAAGCTCTTGTTTTCATATTAATTATGTTTGAAGGGGGCAGCAAATGTCATCCTAATATTAGCTCTTAAAGTCTGTTTAAACCCTTTGTATTCATCTTAGATACATAGTGTAGGCAGTGGTATCTTTTTTTTTTTTGCCAGAAAAGTAAATAGATGTGGTCAGGTACACACATAGGTGTACCATAAGGAGACCGAGAGAGACACAGAGAAAGAGAAAGAGGGAGAGAGGCAGAGAGAGGGAGGAAAGAAGCAGACAGGAACTGAGAAACTTGAGGTCCATTCTTCATCTCTGTCTTGTATCCTTAAAGTTTAATTTAGCACAGAAATGTCCCTTAGAAGCTCTAGAAACTTATCATAAACACTCGCCTAGCAAGGAAAGGTCTGATAGTTGACCCTGCTCTCTTCTCTGAGCTTCACAGAAATGCAGACAGACATAACCATCATCTTGAGTGCAGGGCTGGTGGCAGCAGCAGGTGGCCCAAAGCAGGTTCCTGTCACGGTCACTGCTGCCAAGGTGCACATGTGCAGAGTCAGGCACAGAGGTTTAAGGTATTCCCTAGGGGCAGGGACTCTCCCTAATCCATTCCCTGTTTCCTGAATGGAGCATGCATAAAATGTAGACATAAAATCAATGGATGGCCAAGAAATGAGTCATTGAGCATAGTGGCCTGGCTTGTACCTCTCATCAATATGTCTGTATATTAATCCCAGAATCTGGAAATACTCCCTTATATATTAAAAGACTAAATGTAATTTTATATGGTAAAAAATGGAATTCAGTGAAAATCTGGAGGGGAGGAGCTTATCCCAGGTCATTCTGGTGGGCCCTAGAAGGAATTGTGTGTATCCTTAGAAGAAATGAGCAATGGGAGATTTTAATCAGAAGAGGAGGCACTGTGACCACAGGGGCAGAGACTGGAAAGAGGTGGCCACAAGCTAAGGAAGCTGAGGGTGGCTGTAGCCGCCAGGTTTTCCTCCAGAACCCCCAGAGGGAGCAACTCTCTGCCATAGCCTTGACTTTTGATTTCCAGCCTCTAGACCCATGGGAGATTAAATTTCTTGCTCCAAGCCATCCAGTTGGTGATAATTTATGACAGTAGTGTCAGAAGACCAATCCAGGGTGAAATCCCTAAATCTGAAGTTAGGCAGGAATTTCTAGCAGTTTGGCCAGCTGAATGACCCAAGCACCGTACCACGCAGCCAAGCAGGGCTTCACAGCCTTTGCTTGTGGACAAGTGCTATGGTTTGGGTCCAGCTGTCCCCCCAAAGCCTCATGTGGTCATAAGCTTGATCTAGAATGTGTGGTGCTGGACTTGTTCATGGTACAATGCTAGGCTCAAGGGCACTAGGATCAAGGGTGTGAGTGCTGCCTGCCCTAAGCAGCCTGAAGAAGATAAAAAGGGCAGAAAGATGCTGGTAAGTCCCTTGTTGCCTTTACTGCCTTGTGTACGCCATGTTGTTTCTCTTCTGCAATGCCTGTTTGCCATCCCCCCCCCTTTTTTTTTTTTGGTAAGGGGGATCAAACTCAGGTCTTTTTGCTTGGGAGGCAGGCGGCAGAACCACTGAGCTAAATTCCCGGCCCTGCCATCCCTTTCTTGGAGCCAGGTGGTTATGGAGTGACACCTCTACAAACTATAAGCCCAATAAACCCTTTCCCTTCCAACTTTTGGCGTTTGGGTATTTTGTCTCATCAATGAGAGAAAAGTAACACAGTAGGGAGTGGGTTGGCTCGCTCTGTGTGCTGATGAGGGATGTGGGTTCCTAGCCTTCCCCGGGGCCAAGCCTGGGCTTCTTCTGCAGCCCTCAGGGTTCTCCCTATTCAGGGGGCACAGGGCCTTGAGGAAAGAGGTTCCAGGTTCAATTACAGTGGGATTAAACATCTGCAGCTGTGCGCCTGCCAAGGCAGCTACATCTCCTCAACTCACATCAAACAGCTCCCACCTCAGGGTGCTGCTGTCTCCTCTGTGCAGGCAACTTCAGAAGTTTGCAAGAGAGCTAAAGGCACATTCAAAATAGTCCCAGAAAACCCTCTTTGTCATTATGCATTTCCTGTCGCAATGGATGAGGACGCTATTTCTTTGGTGGCGGTGCTAGTTGGCTTGCATTGAACAGAACCTTGCTGTATCAGTTAGATTCTTATGAGGATGTGAGGTTCTTTCCAGTTGTGAAAGGCAGGAGGGTCAGAGCCCAGACCCAGCCTTCTCACTGCTACTCACAGGCACAGCTCCTTCTGCAGAAAGGAAGAACCACTCGCAAACTGCAGTTTCTTCCCCAGGCCGGCAAGCAATAAACCCTGAGTTAAATATTCCTTCTCTTCACCATGCATTGTTCACCCAAATGGGGGATTTGCTGTATTTTGTCCTGATTTCAGTTTGAGACTCTGAAGGAGCCTGTATTTTTGCCAAGTATCTTCAATCCCAGCCTTGCCATTGACTAGCTGTGACCTGAGACCAGTTCCTTAACGTCTCTGTGCCTTAGTTTCCCCAGCTGTCATACGGAGATGCGGGCAGCACCAGCCTCACAGGTGGCTCTCTGGATTCAGGAGACCAAATTAGCTGCTGGTTGGTAACTCACAAAATGGTGCCTGTTCAAATACACGGGAGGAAACTCACAGCTGGGGGAGGCGAAGAAGAGATAATTACGGGTAAATGTGAAAAGGGGTTTCTTAAAATAGCCTTGGGCTCCTGAAGGGCCCTTGGTGACAATAATTGGAGCAGCTCATCTGGAAGCTGAGGGTGGACTTTTGGGCTGCCTCTGTTGACAGCTTCTTATTCCCAGGGCAGTCCATGAGTGGCTGACAGCCTGACTGACTAAATGCTATTGAGGTGTAATTACAGTGTCACTGTGCTTCCTCTCCTTTATTAGCAAACCAGAGAGTGGCGCGTAGGAAAAAAAAAAGCTGTGACTGTGTTACAGGGTCAGGGTCCTCACCAGTAAAAGGGCTCCACAGTGTGTCCTTGTGTTTTCGAGGACGGAGTGAAAGAGCAAATCAAACAGCCCCGGCTGATGCTGCTGTCTAAGGAACGCTTAAATATGAGCATTTGAGAACCATGTCAAGCTTTTCTTAGAAATGAGAAACCATGTGAGCTGAGGGGAACCATAGGAAGGGAGCTTGAGCTGGCAAGGCTGCTAGCCATAGGGATTGCATTCTAGTCGTGAGACGGACTCACCGGAGATGAGGAAAGCACAGCAGCTAACGTATTCTGGGGGATTCGTGTGTCCCAGGATGAGTATTTCATAGTTGTTGACTTGCCCGCATCCTCACCACAGCAGGAAGAGCTGGCCAGCCGTGTCCTTAGCTTTGATGTAACACCTTTCGAGGGTAGCTCTGACCAGCTGATGCAAGTAGTGATCTGTGTATTCACTGTAGCGCTCATTCATGCCAAAACACCCCCGGCTGCGGCAAAGGCAGGCACCTGGCCCCACTTCGGCCTTGCCAGTGCTGCCCACTCCTCCCTAAGCCGTGTGTGCTCAGAAAAGGGCTCTGGGCGGAACCCTGGATTTGAGCTGACTCTTCATGCAGCCCGCAGATAGGATTTTCACATACATCCCTGTCCAGCCCTGGCAGTGGTCTCCATTTCCCGTACGCACTGGAGAACAGTAGTTATAAAATTCTGGTTTTATGCTATGCTAGTTTGTGAGGGCTGGATTATATAATAGACATTTATTTCTTCCCCATGCAGGAGGCCAGAAGTCTAAGGCCCAAGGGTGGGCAGGTTGGCTTCTCTGGAGTCCTCTCTCTCTGACTCTCCCTATGTCCGCTGCGCCCGGCTCCTGCTCTTGTAAAGGAACCAGTCGTATTGCATGAGAGAGCCATCTCCTCATCGCACGGAGCCTTGATTACCTCCTGAGAGGCCCTTTGTCCAGACCCAGCCACACTCGAGTCTTAGGTTCTAAGACTTAACTTGTGAATTTTGAGGGAAGGTGAGACGGATGCCGGAGGGGAGACTGATGACGGAGATGGTGAACGGGAATCGTGGGATTATCCAGTTGAGACTAAGAACAGTCTCAGTTGAGGGGAGAAGTTTTGCAATCTGTCTGAGTTCACATCCTTAGTACATATTGAGCTAACTCACTTCCCTTCCCTTCCTCTTTTTTCTCTCTTCCTTCTCCTTCCCCGTCCTTCTTTCCTGCCTGCCTTCCTTTTCTTCTTTTCTCATGAAGAGGTTGAAAGCACAGCCTCTCCGTCCCCTTCCCAATCACTACCTGTGTGTATTTGGTCATTGGTTTAATTGTCCTGGCCTCAATTTCCCTACATCTAAGACAGGAATGACCACTACCTCGAAGAGTTGTTGGAGATTAGAAGGGGAGATAATGCAGACATTTTCTGAGGAAATGTCTCCTTTCTCACCAGTTTACTCACAGTTGTCAGTGGGTGGTGTGACTCGCTCATTCTTTTACCCACCAGCAGACTGGTGCCGTGGGTGGTCACCCTGACAATAGCACCGGAGGGCACTGCTGAGCTCCCCCTTGTTGCAAGGACACAATGCCATGCAGGACTCACACTAGCAGAGATGCCTGTGGTGGGAGTCCAGCTAGGGGTGGACCCTGGAGGTGGCACGGGGATCACCTTCCAAGAGGTCTGCTGGGAGGTGGGATGTGGATGCCTTTGCAGGAAGAGTTTTCAGAAGCAGCCAAAGTGAGATGGAAGCGTGCAGTGCCACTTTCTCCTCCAGTGAAGCATCATCTCTCCTGACCTGTGGTTTCTAGGACTCAATGGCAACTTTGTTTGTTGTCTGCGGCCTGGGAAGGGAAGCAGTAAGGCCATACCCACCTCATCTCCTCGGAGCCCCGTCCCCAGTGCAAACTTCCTGTTCCCCTCGAGGAAGCGGATCTTCACATTGTACACTTTATTCCCGTGAAACACCACCAAGACGTACGGTTCTGCCGTGGACTTGGTGGAACAGTCTCGGACCAAGAAAGTTCCGTCCTGAAGCAAAAGGAGAAACAGTCAGGCTCCAAGAGAGGCAACAGATGAAGCCCACAAGTGTGTGGCCTTCAGCGGAGCAGTTGTTGACTGAATTTAATTCAGTAGGTTTTCATTGCTTGTTGGTATGAGTGCGGTTCTCTTCCCTTTTTGGGCAGTGTATCAAGTGACCATGGAGCTGCCTTCTCTCAAATCTCCCCTTACCTCCTGCTGACCTGGGCGTGTAGCCTACAGCCGTAGCAGGTGTTCAGGGCAAATGTGCCAGCTTGTCCCGCGCCGGACTGGCCCTTGGCCCCTGGCTCCTGGCCCCTGGCTCCTGAGTTCCCACAGGTACCACTGCTCCAGGCTGATGGCCTTGGCACCTACAGGCCAGCTGTCTTCCTGCCCCTTCCACAGTCTCCTTGGAATCTGTCATTGTTCACACACTTCCTGTTTTGGGGTCTGGGTGTAGGGAGCCTGAGAAAAGCCACAAGCAGGCCTTGAACTCTTAATCCTCCTGCCTCAGCCACTGGGATTTTAGGCATGTCCCACCCAGCTAGTACTTATAATCGGCAGTTAATATTTATATGGTTATATGTAGTACTTCTATGTAATTATATGATTTATAGTTAATATTTATAGTGTTATCTATATTATAATTATTGATATTTATGGATACAGATATTGATATAAATCACAATGGTAATAATGCTATATACTAGTATAAATAACCAACTTTATAACTAACTTATTACACTCTATGGATAGTACAACCGTGTGGGCAGCTAAGGTTTATTGAGAGAACTCCTTCAGGTGCTAAGAGTTTGCCTACACTATTTCATTTAATCTTTGCATAAACTTTGAGGGGAATATTTTATCCCCATCTTATAGCTAAGGGATTGGGGCCTAAGAACTAAGTAAGCCCTCAAGCCTCTCACTTCATACATGGGATATTTAAAGTCAGCCCTGAATTCTCACTCACTAAACACACCAGCCCATGAGGATATAAAGCATGATTGGGAACTCTGCGGGAGTTTGAGTCTTCCTAAAATGTGCAGTCACAGCATGAACCTCTGCCAAAGATCGGAGAGGGAGGGACGGCCAAGACTCACAGCCAAGCTTGATTTTACCATTTTCAAGTCTGCAATACATTTGTCAAAACAGAGCTGAGCAATCCTGCAATTTAAACGAAGACATCTTTCATAAATGGGAAACACGTTTTGACAAACCGAAAAGGAGTCCATGGAAAGGAGGTATGAAGCTACTCAGCAGAGATCGCTTTTCCCAGTGCTTTCTGGGAAGAAGTGGCACGAAGGGGAGGGAAAGGAACGTTCACTGGACACTTGAACGTCACCCAGGGGAGAGCAGCGTCACGTGTGTGTTGTTCTGCTAGCGTGGTCCACACATGGGCTCCTGCATGCAGCTCCTCCAAGGGCCGCTTTGCCAATGGGAAACAGACCCTCAATGCAAGGGTGCCTTGGGCAGGGAGTGCGAGAGGGGGACCCAAGCCGGAGTCACCCCCTCTGTGCCTGCCACTCTACCGGGCAGGCTCTGTGGACACAGCGAGGGGAGTCCCTGGGGCGAGGCATCACCCAGCCACCCACCACTCCCTGTCCGGCTGTACAGAACGTTCATGGCTACAGGCAGCTGAGACTTTGTGAAAAGGCAGCTTCTGAACACGGGCTGTGCCACTTCGTCTTCTTTGAGGTGGAGACCTTGGCTTAGCGTCAGTCTCCTCATCCAGGAGACGGGATAACCTCATTTACCCTTAATAAGTCGAAGATGCTTTGCCGACAACTGTGTTAGCTTCCTGCTGAGGACATAACAGATTACCGTGAGGTTAACTGCTTGAAACAGCAAATTTATTCTTTTCGTTCTGGGGTTCAGAAACCTGAGATCGATCTCACTGGGCTTGAACCAATGGGCAAAATCTATTTCCACGACTTCTGCACTTTCTAGAGGCCACCACAATCCCTGGCCCTTGGCTTCCCACAAGTCTGACCTCCACTTCCACTGTTAGGTCTCCTTTCCTACTTTGACCCTTTGTCTTCCTCTTGTCAAGATCCTCTTTGTGATCACATCCGAAGTACCCAGCTAGCAGAGGATGAGCTCTCTATCTCAATACCCTCCACTTAATCTCATATTGTGGACATAAAATTTATTTTTTCAATTTCAATTCTGAGGAACAACTTATTAAACATAATCGGAGGCCTCTTAGCTATTCAGCAACTAACGAACTCATTCATTTTCATCTTTACTCACTCGACAATGACTACTGGTTAGCTGCATAGAAATTCTGACACTGGAGCAGTCTTGAAAAACTTTCTATCACTTCTAAGTAGCCTAATATATTTCTCAGCACACAGCGGTCCCTTAATAACTGTTTGTTTGGTGATGATGGTTGTGATAGTCACTGACTGAAAGTATTCCAGTTTTTCTCTCCTTTTGCTCACCTCTTAGGTTCATATTTTCCCAGCCCCTTCGAAGTTAGGTTTGGCTATGTGAACTGGGACGATGACATATGAGTGGAGGCAAAGTATGTCACTTCTGAGAGGATGTGTGAAGAGGTTGAGTACGAAATTAGAAACTCACCATGGAGATAATCCATCCAGCAGCATGGATTAACCCCTCCCAAAAGAGGATTTTAAACATGGAATTATCAAGAAATGACATTTTGTCACGCCAAATGACCGAGATCTTGTGGTGTTCGTTACTGCGGCAAAACCTATCATAGCCTGACTATTGCAGCCTTCGTGATCCCTACTCCTTCCCTGAGAAGTAAGACTGAATACCCAACTGTAGCTTGGGAAGTCTTCTTATAAGAAGATGGAACTTGAAGAAAGCAGAAGGTGCCACCCATTGTGACCTTCATGCCTCATTTGCCACACTGAATAAAGAAATCGATAGGTAAAATTACCTATGAACTAGAGAAATTCACACAGCTGGTAAGCGACAGAACCAAGTCCTACATCTCAAACTTTCCATTTTTAAATACCTGCACTTTTTTTTTTTTATTCAGAATTAGGAATCAAACCCAGGGCTTTCCACATCCTTAGCAAGTACTTACCACTGAGATGCATCTTGAGCCTTTACATCTCCTTTTTAAGTACAACCCTCCAGTATTGAGAAAATTCAAGATGATGCAGTCATCACTGTGTCAGAGCATGCTGCTTCTTATATCATGTGACTTATGAGCAGAAAAACATAACTACAGAAACAGTGACAATGGCCCCTGTAGAAATCATTACCTTGCTCTCCTGCAGTAAGGCCTCTTCAACTACCTGGCGGCTGTGTTCTCCAATGTACCACTCATTGTGCTGAACACCCTACAGCATGGGTTCAATAAAAAGTATTTTAGGATCAAAGGCGGATACAGATTATGGATGTATTAATTCAAATTTTACTTATGTTCCACCAGTGTCCAATCACAGATTCATTTGCGATAGATATTTCATGAAGTTTCATCTTTGAACCTGAAGATGCCCACTAATTCTAGGAGAAGATGAATACAGAGAAATTAACTGCCACTTGGGGATTCTGAAGTTGATGGGAGTGAGAGATTCTCCATGTAAGGAGCAACCAGAAATTGTGCTCCATCAATTGGGAAGGTCCCCTCACCATCACTGTGGATGGATAACAAGCCCTCCACCTATCAACGATTTGTGAATCTGTGCCCATCAAATCTCACCGAGGTGGGATATATATCATTTGTGAAGCCTGTGCTGCCTTAGTCACCATGAAAACAGCAGGAAGGAGAGATCTGTGACGACTTAGAGTGTCTTCATGCCACTCTCCCGGAGCCATATGTGATAGAACAGCAGTAGAGCTGACTTTCTTAATATGCTGTATTGCCTTATTTATATGGATGATGATTGGTTATAAATTATTTTGATTATAAAATCCATCATAACAGACAGCAGGAAAGACAATCAGAGAGATGTACCACGGCCCTGCAATTCCTTCACTGGGTTCCAAGGATCCTAGTACTGAATTATCACTCTACAAAGTCCTTTACTCAGTATCCCAAGCCATCTTTCTTCCAGTTCTGTGCAATTGGCATGACAGGTGGTGTTAGCCCTACTTATTATAACGGACCCTGGAGCCTTAGAAAAGTCAAAGTCAACCACGTGGTTAGCAAGAATGAGGGGCATGGCATTAGGTACTTGGTCTCTCAATTTGTTTTAGAAATATTAAAACCCAAATAATACACTGCCAGAGAGAGACATTTAACACCATTCTTAATGAAGTTCTTTTGGACAGCGCTCAATAAAGTGTCAGTGGAGTGCTAAGTGCGCGCAGAAGGACTTGGCAGAGAAGCGTCTGCCTCACCTTCACAGCAGATCTTGGGGGGAAAGGTTTTCTCCAGCCGGTGTTTGCAGAGGGCAAGATGCTTTCAGTGGGGCCACAGCTGGCTGGAGGCTGGCATCTGCTGGGGGAGCAGGACTGCACGCTGCCTTTTTGAACTGGAGGAGGAAAGACACTTAAACATGACAGTATTATTCTCTCAGCCTGTCTCCCTCCCGTTCCTTTAAAATCCTGAAAGTAAAATAACTAAGCCTATTCAGACTTGGATATTTAGATGATATTTAATTAAAAATGAAGACAGTGAGCTAGATACTCACTGGAAACAAAGGGCAGTGTTTGTTGCCAATTGAACGTTTAGACTGTTGAAGTGCAAAGTGGAATTTGGGAAAGTCTGCCACTGCCACTGAAACATAACAGTGTTCCAATAGTAAGACTCTTCTGATGAAATTGGTGGCGGTGTTTGCAAATGCAATTTTTAAAATATTACATAATAACATATTGCTATGGTTTGGATCTAAATGTCTCCCAAAGCTCCTAAGTCCACAACTTGATCCCAGCTGATGGCACTGTTAGGAAGTGGAAAAAATTTTAGGAAGTCAGCTTATGAGGGGAATGCCCTAGGATACCATATTAGGATGCCAGTAAGGTCTTTGTGTTTCTCAGGGGCCCTGCTGCATGAGGTTCTGTTTCCTCACAGGCCCCAAAGACAGGGCCACATGACCATGAACTTAAACTGCTAAGATTTGAGCCAAAATAGAACCTTTTCCTCTTTGTAAGTGATTTCAGGTATTTACCACAGCAATGGAAATCCATCTGACGCATATATGTTAGGACTGGCAACTGGGTTAGTCTGTGAACCATTATTTCCAACTGTTCCCTGCGTGCTGGTACAAAATAACACCCAAGAAAAGATGAATTCAAATGCAAAATAGAGCAGTGCATGATAAAGTAACAGAACACAAAGAGCTCATTGATAGGGTTTGGATTTCACTTGGCGCCCAAGCTTTAAGCCGCCACCTCATGGAATTTGTATATGTCATTTTTCTACATACGTCAATCAAAGTAAAGTATTTCTAGTCAGGCATTATAACACTTGTCTGTAATCCCAGCTACTCAGAAGGCGGAGGGAGAAGGATCTTAAGTTGCTCTGGCAACTTAGCAAGACCCCAGTCTCTAAATAAAAACAAACAAATCCCCCCAAACAAGGGAGGGGCAGCTGGGGATTTAGCCCTGGGTTCAACCCACAATGTCAAATAAATAAACAAACAAACAAATAAATATATTGTCTGTTCTCCTAATGAAAATGAATACAAGTTAAAGTTCATGAAATTTAGATCTCGAGTATGGAGAGAGGTACCAGTAGAAATGCCCAGCGAAGTTATTTGTAAGTATGTTAGTAGTTTACGGAGGAATCACTGCTTAAAAATAAGAAAAACTTGAGAGTAAAATAATCTTGTGTAAGTAAAGTATTGGGCAAAAATAACATAAAATGGAAAAGAAGTGATGAGTATAATGACTGAGTTCTATACAGTTTGAAAAATACAACTGAACTTACAATCCTGGTTAGTAGTTTCTAAGAACTTTAGGCCAGATACAATTTTGAGATGAAATAAATATTACATAACAGAGCAAAACCGAGGGCCGGGAATTTAGCTCAGCGGTTTGGTGGCCTGCTTCCAAAGCGCAAAGACCTGAGTTCGATCCCCGGTATCTCACACACACACACACATACACACACACACACACACACACATATATACACACACACACACAAAAGAGCAAAAATGTACATACCAGTAACTATAATACTTAGAGTATGTCTGTATTCTGCTTCTTTACATTAAGAAGCCAAATTTCTCTCCAAGATTACTGAGAAGAACCAAACAGTACTACTGATGCTTTCAAAGTTCTATTTTAATGGTACCAGTGATTGTGGCTTTTTAAGTTGACCCGTTAAAGGTTGTATGTCTGCATCAAAATAATTGACGCATAAAACCAATCACTTATAAGCTTAAATTGCATTTATTTTACTATTACATTTCATTTACCAATTTATGATCTCAAAAATAGCAACAATGCTAAAGACAACCCTCCTTCTAGACTTTTATAAATAATAAAGCTTAACTTTAAGTGGTGCAGAATCCACACCCTCAAACCATTTAAGTTTCTGTGTCATTTAGGAAGAAAGAAGGAACTCCAGATTTTAAAAATTCAAGCATACCTTTACTTAAAATATTAAAGGTAACAAACAGAGAATAATTTTGGAATGTGTATCTTCCAAAAAAGATTAAAATGGAGAGGGATGTGGAGGTGAATCCAGTATATGGGGGAAAAAACTAAAAAGTCAATGAAAAGTAGGTAAGTCAGAGGGATGCACAGAATAATTTAAAATATTAGTAATTACAATAAATATCAAAGGTACACACTTAGCATTTAACAATCAGATGTAGGTTGATTTAAAAATTCCAGAGTTGTGCTAATTGCATATGTAATGTAGAATGGTACAGAGAAAGCACAAGTCAGAGGATGGGGAACTACAAACCAGGTAATCCTAATAAGAGATATCTTAACATAAAAGAGATATTAAAACTTCATTTAAATTATAGTGAGCCTATACACATAGGCCATAACTATCTTTTCAACATGGGTTGAAGCAGTAAGAACATTCCTGAGAGAGGAAAACAACCATTATAGGCATCTCATATCACTCAGTTTGTGCTTCATTCATAGTAGTGCTCAGTGATTATGAATTTTTCATGATACTTTTGGCAACTGATCTATTATTTCTCAACCCCCCATGCACTGCTTGAATATTTAAAAAGTTCTACTTTAAAAAGATCATTTGGAAATATTTATGCATTTGTAGTCCGCTCAGAGAACGAGTTAACAAAACAAAACAAAACAAAATGCAAAACAACTGTCAAACAATATCCTTAGGAAGGCCTCGTTGAGTCCTTGTTGAATGCATGAATGAAATTCTAAGCGTGTGTTCCACTAAAAGCAATTAGTTGATTTCATTCTAAAATAATGGGAGCAGTTAAACTTCGGAAAGTTCTTCATACATTTGAGTTTTATAACCCTGTGAAGTATGATTCTCCTACCTGGAAAAGAGAAGTTTACAGCCATGAAGACACTGGCAAATAAACGGAAGAATGCTGGTGCAGGTGATCAGTATCCTATGAGAAAGGGGTAGCCTAATAACTAGGCACGGGCTGTAAAATCATACTATCAATAATTGCTAATGTTTTAAAACTCTTATGAAGCTAATGCTCCTAGCACACATTCTGACCCCCAAACCCTGCTGGTCATGTCACATAAGCTGGCTGTGTGTGTTGCTAATTTTATGCTTTAGATCTAGAATGTACCCTAAAAATCTCCTGTGTACAGGGGTGGGGCTTTTGCAAAGGGATTACACCATGGGTGTGTATACTCATCAGTGTGCTGTTAGGAGGGGCCTGGTTGGAAGAGGTGTGTTACTGGGAGGGAGCCTTTGGAGGACGCATCTCCCTTCCATGCTCTTTCCCTCTCTCTTTGCTTCCTGGATGCCATGAGGTGAGCAGATCTTCTCCACCATATCCATTCATCATGCCATTTCTTCCTGGAAGCCAGCCAACCATGGGTGGAATCCCCAAAACCAAGAGTCAAATTAAAGAGTAATGCTGTCACTATTGTGAGTATAACTGAGCACTTCTTGACCCTCTTCTGACATGTTTGGTGTGTGTGTGTGTGTTTTGGTACAGGGCTCGAACTCCGAACCTTGTGCTTGTGAGGCAGGTGGCAGAACCACTGTGCTAAATCCCCGACCCCTTGTTTCTTTGTTTTAAGATTCATTTGCTTGGGCTCTTCCTACTTTAGCTTGAATTCATTTCTCAGAGAACTGAGCCCAATGTGTTTATCAAATAATGACTGAAATTCTCAAAATAACTAAATTGGCTTTGTTGTTGTTCTGAGATAGAGTCTCCATATTTCAAGGCTGACCTTGAACTTGGGATCTTCCTGCCTTAGCTTTCCAGGAAGTTGGGATTATAGGTATGTGCAACCACATCTAGCAAAGTTTTCCAAAATTCTTTTCTCATTTTCAAGATAAGGATAATAATTTCTATATCTGCAAGGATGTAGCTTTTAGTGTTCCATGTGAATGCCCACCTTTGAGGAATTCAAATAAAAATCAAGAGGCTTTAGAGGCCCTAGTGGACTGAGAAGTCTCTGAGGGCAGAGATCGAGAGCCACTTTCTGCATATCTAATGTTGCCAGTATTGGTCATCCAGGGAAGACGTTTTATTCAGTAGTAAGCTGATGGAGGAGCATCGCAGGTACATAAGAAGTTAATCAGAGGGGTGGGGCTGTCTCTATTCTGTATTCTTAGGGTCCAGACGAATTTTAGGTGTAAACCATCTGTTTGGTAAATATCTGTTGACTAAAACAAGAAGCAATAGGCCAAGACATTTGACTTGTTCATTCTGGGCTTCTAAAACGAAACTTGCTTTCTCTAAGATGAGAGGAGGACAGTGTAAAAGACCCCAGTACAAAAATCTACACACAGCCCTAGGATGTCGACTGGACTCATGTTGGAGAAGGCCATTCCCTTCACCAACACTTCTGTTCTATTCTTCAATTGCTCTTTACTTTGCATGTGCGCATGCTTTTCATCTTTCAAATTAAAACTCTGGATCCCTCTTTCTCTGCTCCCCTCTGCTTGCAGTGTATTTTCAATGCCACCCCACCCCAACACCCACCACTGAAGTGATGCCCTTTCTGGGCTTGTTCAGCACCTGGACTTTCTGCCCGGGTTCTCAGTGTTTCATGTTCATGAACCAGATCTGAGTTTTAGCACTGCTCCTAGGAATGGAGTCCCCTGGGTTAATCACAGTTCTCTTGTTCATTTTTTAAGTTTTCTCTTGGAAACTCCTAGTCACCGTTTATGCATTAAGAGAAACGAGTTTATCACCTGGGACTTAGGTTAGAACATCATAAGACTCGGATGTCATGAGGCAGATGTGGAACAAGGAAACTTGGAAATCCACTGAGGTGAGCTTGGCAGGGAGGAGGACTGGGACTGCAGAAAAGAAGGAGGGATATAAAGACGCCAGGCAGGGCAGCACATGCCTGGGAAAAATCAGTGACTTAGTGAAACCCTACCTCAAACAACAGAAAAATTAAAAGGGCTAGGAGTGTAGCTCAGTGTAAAGGCCCTGGGTTCAATGGTCTGTACAAAAAATAAAAACTTAAATCAAATCAAACATATACCTTACCAACTCTATGTCAAGCAACTCTGTGTGTGTTATTAATGTAAGGTGCATGCTATTAATGTATGAACTATTACTTGAATTTTGTAGATGAGGATCTATAAAGCAAAGAGATAACTTGTTCCAGGTGATCATACGGTAGGGAGAAAGGCAGAATAGGGACTCTGATCAGCAGAGGTCCTCACCCTCCCTATTACACTCCACAGAGTCTGTTTCCTTCAGGCCTAAATTCTCCTTTCTGGCTTGAAAGGCAGACTGCAGAGCTAGACCTGAATATAGAATATACAGAATAGAGAGCAAAATACAGAGTAGAAGATGTAGTTTGGGCATAACAATGCTAATATGTCAAACACACCACTAATATCTACATGACACTATCTATCTGCTGCCCTAGTCAGCTTTGCATCAGTACAACAAAGCACCTAAGAAAATGAACGTAAAAGGATGAAATATTTGTTTTGGCTGATGATTTTGGAAGTTTAGGCCAATTTTGCTTAGTCCCGTAGCTGTGGGCCTGAGGCAAAGCTGGTCGTCCTGGGGGTGGAGCGCAAGGGTTCAGGTCAAAGCTGCTCACTTCATGGCAGCTAGGGGTCTCATCAGGACTTGCCCCAGTGACCTATTTCCTCCACTTAGGGCCCACTTCCTGAGTTGCCATCACCTCCCACTAATACCATCCAATTATGAATCCATGAATGAATTAATGCATTGGTGAAGTTAATGTCCTCATGACCCAGTTGCTTCCCAAAAGACCCCCTTCAGAACAGTGTTGCCTGTCACCAACAGGTGAGCCACTGGGGGACAGTTCCTATCCAAACCACAACAATGAGACCTCTGTGCAAACATGGTACCCTGGGTTTAATCTTTACAATCAATTGGCAAGAGAGATCACTTGTATTGTTTTTTCATTTCACAGATTTTTCTGAGATAAATCTATGTTGCACCCAGTGCAGTGGGAAACATTAAAGGTTTTTCATACACATTGTCAGAGAAGAAGGAGAGCTAAAGGGGACTCATAACCTGTGGGTGACTGATTGACCTGTCTACTTTGAAAAGTACATCTACGGCAGCTGAACAGATACATAGCCTAAGCATATCCCTAGAAAGTTCTATTTTAGAAAGAGCAATGACCCTCCGGTATACACAGGAAGACATCTACAGTAATGTTCATAACACCACTGGAAATGACCTCTGTGATTAGATTTAGTTATGAATTAAAATTATGTCAAATTAACCCAGTGAAATGCTATCAGCCAATGAAAATGAGCTAATTATACCTATGCACATCAGCTCAGCGACTCTGAGCCACACAGAAGGAAAGTCACAATGCAGGAATATCATGGCATGATGACTTACCTGTTAATTTCACAATTCTTACTTAAGCGGCCTTACCTCTTTCTTGCACATTGTGGCTTCTCAGCAAGAAGGTAGAACTAAAGGAAATGGTAGAATTGGTAGAATGTTAGAATTTCACATGCTGGGTACAGTTCCAGCCAGGGTCAAGGTCAATGGTCATGGTCTGATGTTACATTTATAAAGCACGCCATACTTTAATGAACACGCTAGAAGAATTGTTGGTTTTCTAAGGTGAAGAGAGGCTGGCTGCTCTTCTTTCTTAATATGGGCAAATATTAGATACGGAATAAATCAATCAGCCTGCGTTCTTTTTATATCGTGTCAGCAAACACATTTCCTAATTCTTTACCTTTAAAGACGAGAGTTTAGAGTTGCTTTGTAGTTACAGTCATAGAAATTCAGATTTGGTTGGGCTTACACTCTATTGAATTTGTTTAATGATCGAGAGTGAGCTATAGCTAGAAAGAAGAGTATAGAAATTTGATTACTTTTGAAATTTGAACTGAGCAAGAAAGTTGTGTGGAGTACTGTAAGGAATTCCATAAAGAGAAAGAGGATTATAAGACAATCAAAACAGCAATGTGCATTTCTGAACACAAAAATAGTATCACCAAGATTGTTCATCCATAGTTTTACCTCACACCTGGCTCCAATTTTCTGGTTCATTTTGTATTGCGGTCAGCACTGTCAATGTAAGTTCCAGGTGCTAAGAGCTAAGTCTAATTATGCAGGGCACATCCCACTTCAAAGACTGTGCTATCGGCAAAAGCCTTTGGGTTAATTAAATGAAACTGCACCCGTTTCTGGCACCAATGAAAGCAACAGCATATATATCTGGGTTTTGTTCTCCCTGTGAAAGCCTAGCTCTTTGCAGGTAAAAATGCCAGCCGATGGTCAACTGCCACACTCTGTCGCCAACACTGTTCAGTCTTCTGACATCCAAGCTCTTGGCTATACAAAGCACTAGCTTTCAACTAGGAGTTAGTGCAATTCTGTTAAACATCTGGGACAAAATTATGAGCAGCAAAGTTTCTCTGCTCTATTTCTCAGGATTCTGGGGCGGTAGCTAATGATAGGAATATCCTCAAAATATTTTAGATCTCGGGTACATAGTGTATAAGGGCAGAAACAAACAAACAAAAATCCCCAAACTAAAACTAAGGTCAAAATGATGATCTGTTCATTGAACAAACACAAACTCAGCCTGGACTGGATGCACAGTATGTTTGGGGAATGTTAAATAAAGTATGGTCTCTGCCTTATGGAGCGCGTTTTACGCAGAGCAGATGTATTTGTGTCATCGCTGTAACACACTCGGTGAATGCACATGCGGTGAAAGTGCATGCAGCATCAGCCCCCATGGTAGAGAAAGGTCACTAACAAATGGAGTTGCTCTGGTTCTCAGCAAAGGCTTCTGAGTGAGATGCTGACTGACCTGAGTTCCGAAGAGTGGTAAGAAGAGAGAGTGCATTTCAGGCAGACAGAGCAGCAGGTGCCACAGATCAGAGGCAAGAAAATGTGACTCATTCGGCCACAGTCCAGGAAGTAGTTCTGTGAGCGTGGAAGGCACAGCTGGAGACCCTGAGTATCATTTGGCTACTGCAACAGTCAGGGCAAGAGCGATGGCGGCCGGGCTGCGTTACGTGGCGGAGAAATGAGGGGAAAATTGATAGGCTCATCTTGTCAGAGGTGGAACATGGGAAGCTGGCGATGGATTGTATGGGAGCAGGTTTCATAGACTGAAGGAGGTCAGTCTGCAGGAGGATACTGTTGATTTTGGAATGAACGTAGACATGAGGAGTTCAGTTTTCAAAATGATCAGTTTGCAGTGCCTGTGATCTCAAAGGAACTCTGCCCACGGCTTAATTGGAAATAGCAATCTGGATCCAAGCATGGCGGTTTGGACAGATGATGGGGATCTGGGCATTATCGGTAGAGAGCTGACATTTGACAGCATGAGATGAATGAGAGAAGAGGACCTCAGATGAACTGCTGGGAGTACCGACATGTAGTCAGTCTGGAAAATAAGTCTTAGAAGGGGACTTAGAGGAAGAGGCATATTAAGTGAGGAATAAAATCAGGTGACTTTATTCAATAAATTAAGCAAATAAAATACCTCCAAACACATCGAACAATGACTGCATGTATAAAATCTGAAGAGCTCATTATCTTTTCACTATGTTGATTATTTTCCTTGTAAAAATTATACCAAGAATTAATTTTTCAGTATGGAAGATTGAACCCTGGGGCTTCACCCTGAGCCACATCCCCAGTCTTTTTTCCTTTCTTTCTGTAAGACAGGGTCTCACCAAGTGGCTAAATTTTCCAAGCTGAGCTCTAATCTGTGATCCTCCTGCTTCAGCTTCCCAGAGTGCTGAGATTACTGGCCTGTGCACCAGGCTCAGCCGAGGAAGTGAATTCTGTTGTGGAATAGTGTCAGGACGGGACTCGAATAGCAGAATCGTTATTATAAAGCAACAGTCCTAATACCCACAGGTCAGAGGGTGAGAACACACTTAGTGAAAGTGTGAAATAAGATATGGAAGCAAATGAAGGAAGAGAAGGGGTGGGGGGTGTCACGGTGTTGCCAATGCACAGGACCTGGGAGCAGTCATGATAGCTGGCACTGACTGGGCTCTGGACTGGGCTCCCCGTGTAAGACGTGGCACTGTCCAAGTCACACTGTTTGCCGGCAGTGATGTCAGGCAGTCTTGCCCACCTGCTACTCCTCTCCACCACAACATGGTGCCCTTCCAGAAAGGACTCACTGGAAACTAAAGCGTGCCATCTCAGCTATGGGCAGGCGCCAGAGAGTCACGGTTCACTGATAGCATTTTTAGAATCAAGTCACTATAGGCAACAGGGGCTACTGGAATGAGCGTGGGGTTTGGAGTTGGACTCTGCTTCAAATGTAAAGGATTCAGGATTTCGAGGTCTCATTTTTTTCATCTGGGGAATGGGTAAAAATTATCTTCTGTCCTGAGTGGTTTTGTTTTGTACTGGGGCTTAAACTCAGGACCTTGCGCTTGTGAGGCAGGCACAGTGCCACTAAGCTAAACCCCCAACCCCTGGCCTGAGTGGTTTAAAGCTGGTGTGTGATGGATGAAAAGTTTTCCAAACAGGGAGAGAGTGGCAAGGAGAAAATATGTAGAAAGAGTTACAGGCAGGGGAGTGGGAGATGCAGTGCCCTACAGTGAGCAGAGGCTGGTATGTGCCAGGGCGGGGGGCACCGTGAGGCTGCAGAGCGGGCTGGGAAGGGAAGTGGCAGGACCGAGGACACAGCCATCGGCCAGTCTGATCGTGAGAGTCTCACAGAGCTCACTTGGAGGACCTATGCTCTTTTGAGGAAGCCTCTACTGATTTGTAGGACCTCGGTCAATGAATCATCCAACAAAGCCTTTGCTTGGAGTTGACAGCTATTCTGGTAACCTGATCAGAAAATTATTTACTCACAGAATGGCATTTTCCACGGCTGGTCATTTATGAAGTGCTGTTCCAAAGGGACTGTGCACTTTGATGTGAACATCAGCTGAGAACAGTAAGAAACAGCTGACTTCTCCTGCAAGACTGATGAGGATCCATTTCCGGAGGTTCTGCCCAGTTACTATGGAATGCTTAAAATCCTTCAGACTTCCCCAACATTAAATCCATCACTTAGAAATTGCAGAAAGAGCGATACTATCGGATTCGGTAACTGCTGGGATTCCCAGGTTCCAGAGCTTCAGAATTAAAGGCCAGAGCTGTTCTGTGTTCCCAAGTCCTGGCAGTCACTGTCCAGGAAAGCACGTCGCTTGACCCCTGAGCGGGGCCCTAACAAGTTCCTGGCTTCTTACCTTGTAACAGGAAGTGGAGTCTTCTGAGTGTTTTGGTTTTGTGACAGGTGAGATGATTCGGGCTTTATCTGGTGATGAGAAACTAAAGGCACAACATAACTTGATCAGGTTGCATACTTCAAGTGATTGAGGATGATTAGAAGCCCAATTAGTATTATCATTCCATCTCACTAGTCTCTGGTTATTACCAAGAGGCTGCTGATGGTCGATGGAAACCATAGCTCATATACTCTATAACTCTCCAGACTCTGCGGGTATCTCCTGCCTACAGCTATAAATATTGCATTGAGTACTTACCACCTCAGGAGTGCAGAATACTGCGTTGGAAAGTATTTTAGGGGTCTTTTAGACCAGTGAGTTTAAAAGACTTCTGGCTTTATGCCATTCATTCACGTCATTCAACAAACATTCACCGCGCATCTCCTCAGGACAGGTGCTCTGCTCGGATATAGAGTTAACAGAGGAGAAGGACATGGTATTTACATTTCAATGAAAGGCAAAAGGAAATAAACACCCAAGTAGAACAACAGGGAGAAAGAGACACAAAGAAATCAAAAAGTATGTGTGGGTAAAGAAGGCCTTTGGGGAGAAGATCTCTGAACCAAGTTCTTGCCGAGGAGACAGTGATTGTCAGTGACTACCGTCGCCACCTGCCACCCAGGTCCGCATTCTCAAGCCCTTCCTGTGACAGACAGACAGGTGACAGACATTCCGCCAGAATGCTGACGGGGACCAGAAGTTCCCACTGAGATGTAACCAGGGACACGTTTTCTCTATGTTTCCCCCTTGATCATCAAGTTTTGAAAAGTTCTGCCAAGCATACGGGCTGGAGTTGTTCAGTAATTACACATGCTGTAGGGGTTGCTACTTTTTATTTTGTTTTCATCACAGGTCACTTCTAACCAGTCTTGCAGAGTTACAAGGGTGAGTAGTCATGCTACGATATGAAATCCCATAAAACACTCTCTGAGTGGCGATTCTAAGTAATAAAGCTGCGGAAGCAGGCAGACACTGACTAAGGCAGCCTAACTTGAGTTGTCACTCTGGGTTGTGTCAAACGGTGATCACAAACTGGGGCCTTTGATTGAAGGACTGAGACTGGCGGAGATGCGCCGTTGCACTGATAACTATGGCGGCCCTTGAACATTTTAGTATGTTGAGAAAGGGAGTGGTTTTCATTGTTTCGAAACAATTTAAAATTGCCTGCGAACCTCCAATCCTCCACCAGGAATCCGCAAAACCAGGCAGTACCTTCTTCCATTTAACTCCCTCCATACATAGAGAAGCGCCGCCTCAAGACCCAAACGGGAGATGCAACTTGACCAAAACTACACAGCGAGTACGTAGCAGGTCTCTGAATCCCTGACCCAATGTTGTTCTGTGGAGCTGCGCTACTTATTTGCAACTCTTTGGGCCACGGGTAGGTCCTTTGCCTCTTCCCGCATTTCATCCTTTTAATGGGATCGAATCAGTATTTCAAAGGTAGGCATAAAGGTATCCCGTACATCAGGCCATGTGCTGAGTGTTGGATTATTTGCTACTTCAGTGGCACCAACATTGCTCACACCTGTGTGTGAATGAGGGTGTGCGCGTGTGTGTGTGTGTGTGTGTGTGTGTGTGTAACAAGCATGGGTGATGTCAGAGGACAAGAGACATCAGTATCTTCTTGAGAGCAGTGGGACATCAGTTTCTTTCCAAAATAGCAGGGTAACTGTGAGACAACTCTGGGTTGGCGGCCTGTGGCTAAAGAAAGAGCCATGACTCCCTCTGATTTAAATTAGCTTGTTTAAACTGGAGGACCTTTGGATACACTCGGAGGCCCTGCATCCATGTGGACCACATAATTGTGCACACACACACACATACACACACACACACACCAGACTTCAGAACAATCCTTTTAAATAATGACTATTCCTACAGATCTAGAAACAGAGCATATGCTAATGGCACTGGAGTAAGAAAACCTTTGTAAACAACATACCTTTTTCTGCTTGAAGGACCTGTATTGAATAATAAAAAAAATTAATGTATGACTTCTAGAGGTAGAGGATTTAGTAGAATACTATAGTATTTTGGGAGCATTTGGTTAGTAGAGTTTGGAAAAATTGTTACCATCAAATTTTTTAAAAATCTACCTGGCTTTCCCAAAGATTAAACAAAATCAAACTTTTATACTCCTTGTATGATACAAGAGACAAATATATAGTGAACCAATGGCACTATAACTTGCTTCGACTTTTTTGAAAAGCACTTTAGCCACAGTTACCAGGATCCTTTGGAGATATTCTTATTCTTATTCCAGTAATTGCTTTGATGAGACTCTTTTCTAAAAACAAAGCTGAAATCTGCCTCAGGTTCTGTGTGGAGGGATGTCCAACACAACATTGTTTACAGCAGCAAATCAATAGAAGCAGTTTACAGGACCAGATAAATAAGAATTGTTTCCATGCTGCATTTGCTTATGGGCATATTCTGAAGACATTACAGGTATTTATGTAGAGAACAGAATAGAAATACACTGTTAAGTATGCCTCAAGGTTACATTCAAAACTGCAGAATGAAAACGGGACCCAGGATATATTTACATGCTGGTATGTTTTAAATGTATACACATGTGTATGTATGAATGTAGAAAAATGGGTTTAAAGAAATATAATAAAGTATTAATAGAAGTGATGAATTTTTTCTTTATACTTGTTCTGACATTTTATGTACGGACATGAGCAGAAAATATTTGCATTATTTTAAAAAATAGCCATTTAGCTTCCCAAGCACTTCCTTTCTCTTTCCTTTCTTAAAAGAGGTAAATTAGATTGTCCTTTGTTATGAAAATCTGTACACTTAGTGAATGGTTTTCATCTTTGACCACATTCTACTCTTGAAAAAAATGAAATGTGTCACAGTAGGGACAATATATGCTGAAGGATTTATTTAATCACAAGTAACCTTATGAATTCCCTTTTGGACATTAAAAAATAGGTAGCATTTAGATAAGAATTGTTGCCCTGAGGGATGGAAAAGGTCACTGGATTGTCAAATGAGGTTTATAAATGTTCTGGAATAAAAATGTTTTTTCCTTTATAAATATGTTGATACTTTTTATGGGGTAAGGAAGATTTATCGCATCATTTTTTAACATTTCAAAGGGATTTAAAGTCCAAGAAGCAATAAAAGCCATTGGTTTACGGATGCGCTCCGTAGAGGTCGTGCTATTTGCCCGCACTCACAGTTACCTCTCCGCCAAGCTGACCCCAAGCCCAGCTCTCTCTGCTCACAAATGCTTTTTAGTTAAGAAGTCTTTGGCAGGAACGTTCTCAGAGCAGCAGCTCATGTCTTGTCTGACAGGCCTTTTTGTTTTAATGACCTTGGCATCCCCTAGGGTTCAGGGAAGAGGACATGCATTTCATTACCGATGGCTAGAAGGAGCAAATCTGCAGGCCAAGTAGAAAGTGGAATGGATGCATTCTAACGAGTGGTTTGGAAGTCTCCCCTCTGAGTCTTCCCCAGGACTTTGAATCTGCCTGCTCCAAGTGCTCCGACAGGGCAGTTCTTGGACTTGTTAAAGGCAGGGGGAAGCAGAGCCATAAATCCTGTCTGCAGAGAAGCCCTGCTTTGGGAGAGTAGTTGCTTTATTTCATTGAGACCCAGCCAACTTTGTGGTTAAGGTCTCTGAATTTAAAACCAATGCAATAAAAAAGTAGCGTGAAATCTCTCTAGCTTTTCTACCTTAACTTTTTAGTCTATTAGAAAATAAGCATATTCAAGTGAGATGCTGATGTCTCCTTTATCTTCTCCCTCTGTCCCTCCATTATTCCTCCGTCTCACTCTTTCTTTCCTTCCCTCCTTTCTTCTCTTCCTTCCTTTCTTGCCTTGCTTTCTTATTATTTAGCTCAGACTGCCTCACTGTGGTTTTTAAGGAAGAGAGGCACGGCTGTGGGCAGCAGCCCAGGAGTGGGATTTCAGGGATTGTCCTGTCTTCTGCCAGCTGCAGGAAGTTTCGTTGTTTTCTCTTAAGGCTTTGTGTGGATGAAGAGACTACGAATCTCTACTTCTCTTGCAAACTCTGAAGTGCCAGTTGAATTTGAATTGGGGCAGGTCATATTCTCTTGGAGTAGATTCTACTCTCCTAGGTAATGAAGCAAGCACTCCAGGTGCTCAAAAGCATGGTGTTTGCCCTTCTACTTGAGCTTTGGGGAAGTGAAGTATCTTCGCAAAAGAGAAGGAATGGGTTTGTTCCTAGACCTTTTTCTTTAGATGACACCAGCTCCTAGCAGAAACCAACCAAGGTTACAGAGAAAATGAGCAGTTGTGCAAGCTCCAAGCTGCTCTCTTGCTTGTTGGTGACCAGAAGACCTACTGTTCCCTCAGGCTGACCAGTGCATTACGGACTTGAAACCATCTTGGGGCAGCCAATCTTTACCTGCAGCACATCAGTCCAACCTACAGGGAGAGAGGTGCAGAGTCCTGGGTCTAAGCGCCTGGACGTGTGGACTCCCCCAGCAGCAGAGCACCATGCTCAGCTTGCTCTTTCTTGGTGGTGCTCAGGAACTCCAACTCCTAGAACACGAGCCTGGAGAAGTGCTATATGGAACCAGGGCTGTCTTCTCCAACAGGAGGGACATGTCATCCTCCTTGACAAGATGAATCATCTTGTGGATTACAGGGATGGAATGAATGTCTTGTTTGAGTGACAAACTAAACATGTGACTTTTGACATCAGCATTTTCATAAATCTAATAAAGAAGAAAGGAAGCGAGGAAGAAAAGTAGGAAGGAAGGAAGCAAGCAAGCAGGCAAATCAGCCTTTCTGGTCCAGATGTAAGAGCATGGGTCAAGTAAGAAAACAGGAACTGAATGACTTAGAAGCCCAATGGGGAGAGGCGAGGACCTGTACGCTGATGGACAGAAACTTTCCATTAGTCATGGGACTTACCCTCTGCTTAAGAAACTTCCTCTTTCTCTCTTTGTGAATTAAGGACGTAACACCCCTAGAAAACTCCAGGACCGCTGCACCTCACCTGACTTTCATGCCACTTGTTGACTCTCTATTTGTCATTGCTGCATTTATTGAGATTTTTTTTTTATCACAACAACTTTGGAAAGAAATGTTTTTGTCTCTATTTTACGGCCAAGGGAACAGAAACTGGACGGGTGGGGACACTCGCCAAAAATCACAAAAGCTAGTGGGCAGCAGAACAAGATTCAAACCCATATTCACGTGACACTGAATCTCATCTTCCTTCTACTTGCAGTCTTGCCTTCCTCAGGAAGAACAAATGTCAAGGTGCACTACGTTTTCCAGTGCTTCTTTTCTGTGACGCTGGAGGCTGGATGCCATCCATGGGGGCTGTATCTTCCCTGTGGAAGCGGGTGTGCTTCTCAATGTACCAACAAAAAGGAAGTGAGCGTGGCAGAAGACTAGGGTTCTTGCCTGAACCTTTGCTTGTTTTACTGGTTTTCTCACCTTTAAAATAGGGACACATTTTGTGCATGGCTACTGTGAGAATTAGGTGTGACGAGGTACCCTAAGAAAGCAGCATCTTTCTCACTGTGGTCATTTAATGCACAGAAATTTTCTTTTTGTTTCCCGGGGTGGGGGGGAAATTGCTACTTACTTCACTTAAGTCCTTTAAGCTTATTTGTCTGTAAGAAAAAAAGAGATTTGGTGTTAAATAAAATGTGAATTGTAATGACCAAGATAAAATCATTCTGAGCCCTTATAAAACCTTTGATTACAATTTTCTTGCCCAATTAACAGTCCACAGATCAGTAGGATATTTATCACTGTTCTACAAAACTAAAGCAGGTTATTTTTTCTCATAGTTTTCCAGGGAAAATAAGTTACAAGCCAATATAAAAGGTGATGATAGGAAGGGTGTTTCTCCTTTCAGGAGGATTTAGATAACATTTTAGTTCCTCCTGACATTTGGTTTTCAATGTCGTCTCATTAGCACAGTGACACCTATGACTGACTTGCTCTGAGAAAACGTAAAGAGTTTTAAATATGAAGCTGTCACATGCTGTGGGATCCCAGGAAGTCATGTATAAGAGGAAAAAACACTGATAAAGAAAAGAGATCTTAGATGGGGGAAGAACTATGAAACTGAATGGAAGGGAAAGATTCAGAATTTGATAATGTGGTCACTGGATAAGTCTCACAAGAAACCCGAAGTCTTTCATTCTAGAGACAAGCCAGTCAGCTTCTCTGAAGCTCATTTTTCTCGGCAAAATGGCAACAAGCGTCTTCATCTGGAGAATTCCTAGAGACGCAAATGAAAATGGCAGCTAATTCAGTGGATGCCATTGTTAGAATGTGGCCACGTTAGAGGAGGAAGTGACGAGGTTAAGACTGCACGGCTGAAGGCAAATCTCTGCTGATGGCGGTGGACCCCGGGTTCTCAGTCTGTATCAGCAAAGTGACCCTTCAAGTAGGCAGCACTCAGTCATTATGTGCTGGTGTCAGCACTCCAAGCAATAGGTGATTGCCTTGAGGTTCCATGGTTCCGGAAGTTTCAACTCAGCCGGCGGGAGACAAAGGCAGCTCCTCCACACCCTCCCTTTCCTATTAGTCAAGGAAGTGAGAAGATGAAGAGAAATGGAATGAAGTACAGCAAACACCCACAATGGCAATTATTTTGAGGTTAAGTCCCAGGATTGTTAACACTTAAGAGACCAGCATAGTGAGCTTGATGGATTGGCTGCAAGACTTCAAGTTAAAATGTAGAGTTTAGGGTTGCAATTTTAAGTTATAATAGTGAAGACATATTCAATTTTATTTGTAAAAACTTCGAACTGCGTAGAAGTTGAGTTTTCCTATATTTATACATGACTCTATTAGGTTGACAACAATTGTTAAAGAAAATTTTGCTGGCTAGGATTTAGACTTGCCTGGTCAGCATTAGGAGTATGTAAAAATCAAATCCTTTCAATTTATAAAGGCATTTCAAGTACTTAAGATGATTTAGCGAGTTTGTAAGAAAAATCTAAGTGAATTGGATTTAAATCCTTGCTTTGTCATCTATGGGCTTCGGCATTCTCAGCAAGTTAAATGCTCTTTCGAAGCTGAGTTTTTCCACCTATGAAATGGACAAATCCAAAGACTAATAAAGAGAGTTGTTGAACATACTAGTGCAAAACACATGTGAAAGCTGTTTGGGATGAAATACTTCTCATAGGCAGAACACCTCAATGTGTAACTAACTTCCTCTAGATTACACCTTTTACTCCGAGATAACTGTAGATTCCTCTGAGTTGCAAGATCTAATACAGAGATCTTCCAAACCCTTTACCCACTTTGTCCCAGTCTCAGAGTCAGACAAACTGTAATTATAATTGAGTTCATACCTTGATATCTGTATTCCCATCCACAAAGGTGAATGTGGACACCTCCATAATCTGTACTTTCTCTTTTTGAAGGGACCGTGTGTTTGCATGTCTATAAGGATTTCTTTTGGCGTTCCAAGTCAGCAGAGTATATATTTTCACAACTGAGATTGCTTGAATGGCTGGGCTGCCAGCATGGCTGATTGCACAGGAAAGCCCAGAGTTAGGAAAAGGGGTTTTGGGTGTCTTTAATATGAGTGCTTTATTTCAATTATATTTCACGTGAACCCCAGGCCTTGGGGCATTGGATTTATTGACGTGTAAAGAATTACCATGGCACAGTGAATTCTATGTTTCCCTCAGTACCCTTGTGATAGTGAGACTGCCTTCTGCACAGGGTACTGTGGGACTAAATGCTTCAATACAGACAGCAGACTTTGTGCCGGGCCTTGTGTAGTCAGAACTCAGAAAATATTCAGTATTCTTATTGTTCAGGATGACTATACTTGGCCATGGTATTAAAGTAGCTGTGAAGCTACTCCTTTTCTGATTCTCTTTCAGATTAGGTCAAGGAGAGAGTCTCTTCTTTGTGACCAATATCTCCTAAGAACCAATCTACTATTTGCATATCTCCCCCATTAACAGCAAGAAATGTCCCCAGATTAAAAGTTATGGCTTGAAACTTGCAGTTATTTATAAGTAAATTTACTTAAAGTGGGAAACAAATGAGCAAGGTGAAATAAATATTAAACACACATATTGTAGCAATCACAGCAGTGCACAGATCGTAGAGACCACACAACTAGCGCTCTTCAAGCTTTCAAGTTCTCTTCTACTTCTGAGCCATCAATGAGTCACCTAAAACTTTCTTTAAACGACCTTCTTGGATGCCACAATTATTCTGTGAAGCCGATACTTACCTTGAAAGAAAGACGCGCCGGGGATTTAGCTCAGCGGTTCGGTGGCCTGCCTTGCAAGTGCAAGGACCTGAGTTCAATCCCCGGTACCAGAAAAAAAAAAAAAAGTACAGAACTGCTGGCCAGTGGAGGCAAACGGGCCTGTAAGACAATGGGTGGAGCCACAGCCACCATCCAGGGCGAGAGTTCGGGCAATTGTCAAGGCTGCAACTGTCGCCACTGAAGCCCTTGATTGCCAGAAGTAACTCACAGCGAATGCCTCAGGGTGGGATTCACACACTGTGCTTTAAAGGCAGCTGCTGTCAGGGCACTGGGGGGCACTCGGCCGGAGCTGCTGCAGAAATGGATGGCTCTTGTTCTATTTTCACAGCCCCTGTGGCTATTCATATGTGACCTGGTCATCAGTAAGGTTGTCTGACCACCCAAGTGTGCTCTGCTAAAGGTGCATTTGAAAGCACAGCTCTCTCCCTAAAGCAAAACTCTCCCTTCTTCTATTGCTGATGTCCCAGTGTCTCCAGGAGGGTGTTGTGCTTTTACTTTTGACAGTCACATGCCAGCCCTGTGACTCTGTTACTTAACGGTCTCTGAACCTTACTGACCTTAGAGGCCCCAAAGCAGCCAATGATATTTGCCAAGAGCCTACAGGCCATCCCAGGGGCTGGGCACTGGCCCTGGAAAATCCATACTTTACAGAGCCCCGGGAGAAGCCTGTAAGATGAAATGCAGTAATTCTGTCACAGTTATGACTCCACCTGCCAGTACCTCTACAGCCAGAAACAATCATTCCTTCTGTGCAGGAGTAGGAAGGAAATGCCACATCCTGCTCTCACGTCCAGATTTGGTAATTGGAACCATCTTGGGGGAAAACTACTCACTGGAGTTAGTCACATTTTGTGATTAGCGTCAACTGCCAAACACCCCATACATTGGGAATGGGAACCCCATCCCCATGGAATCCCTCAGTGCCAGTGGGCTGGTTTTGCAATATTTCTTTGTCAAAGAGGCAATGATGTTTTTGATAGAAGAGGTCCCAGGCACAGCATATTTCTCCAGCCTGAGTGATGGTGGGCTATGCCCTCGGTTGGTCTTGGAATGGTCTGAACCCCTTTTTGGCTTTTATATAATGACATCCTGATTTCCTCCTGGCACGGAACAATTTCTTCAGTACCTCAGGCCCCAAAGGAGCACTTCTTTCAATAGTGCATTTTATTCCAAAGCTGTTATTTTCTGGGAAGGATCAAACACAGGTTGCTAAGACTGTTGCCCCACCTCCCCCAGGAGTAACTGGCCCTCCCAGCTCAGGGGAACTCCCCCCACCCTTCTGTGGAAGCCTCTTTGGGGTGTGACCCCCACCCCAGTCTGTTCCTGGGAACTGTCCAGCAGCAAGCCCAAGTCCCTCACCTGGGCTCCCTCTGGGCTTCTGGAAAGTTGTTCTGTCGCAGGGTCGGTGTGTGGCCCTTCCAGGGCGTGGGGGGCAAGGGCTGGTACTTCTTCGGGAGAGTGGGCGGAGGCCTGTGTGGAGAGAGTCAGCAGGGCTTAGCAGTTGGTTGCACAGTGGGCTCCTCACCCGTGCCTGGCCCTCTCTGTCCCAAGTTGGCTGGAAACACAGTTCCGTGATGCTCACTGGTTTACTGAGCAGCAGGATCTGTTTCAGACAGCCACAAGGGTTAGTTTGTTTCTTCTGGCCACTCTAAATCGGCCTCCCTGAAGCCTTGCTCTTTGGTTGGGTGCCCTTTTCACAAGATGGTGATACATTTGCCCACAGAGTGTCATGTACTTTTTAATATGGTGCCTGTTTGAGTTGCAGGAGGTCTGGGGAAAAGAGAACAACAGGCTTCCCTCTGTTGCAGGCCAGAAGAGTTTTTAGAGCCCTCCAAGGAAATATGGACATATTTGGAAGAGAAGGAAGACCACTTCGCCAGTTCATTCCCCAGTTCACCGATGGACTCATTCATTTATTCATAAAGGGTGTCTGGTCCTGTGGTGACACTGAGGGTAGAAAAGGACACTGTGCTTGGCTCAAGATGCTTCCAACAGGAGGGAAGAGAGAGGACTGGAGAAATGAGTAGCAAGAATGTAACAGATAAGGGCCGGGTATTTAGCTCAGTGGTGCCACTGCACCAGGTCCTGAGTTCTATGGCTGGTACCCAGCCCCCTGAAACCCAACAATGTAACAGATGCCAGGTGCCGTGGCAGAGGGACCCACAGGCCGGAGTAGAGCAGCAGAAGGGGCCAACACCAAGAGCCTCAGCAGCTCCTTGCTGCTCTGCTCTATGTGTACATGTTATGTGGGTTTGCACTGTGTTATATATAAATGCATGCACTTATGTGAACACGTATTTGTATGCTGTAAGTCTCTTAAATTCATATACAGTCATTGTATGTTGTCAATTTGTATGCAGGCATTGGCTCACAGGTTTTAGACTTGTTGACATACAGAGAGATCAGGTCAGCCCGGTGGCTTTTGAATTTGAGTATGATAAATATATACCCATGGGTGATCTGGCAGATTTCTTTGCTAAAAGAAGGGAGAGAAACAGGAGGGAAATTTTGTTGGGAATATAAACTAGTACAACCACTATGGAAATCCTCAAAACACTAAAAACAGAAATTTCATTTGTCCCAGCTGTCCCCCTTCTTGGTAACTTCCCAAATGTTAAAATTATCACATTACAAGGATCCATGCACACTGATGTTTATAGTAGTACCATTGAAATAGCTAGGTCTTGGGAACAGCATGTATGGTCTGTCAACAGATGAACAGATAAAGAAAATGTGGTATTTGCACTCAGTGGAATACTGCTCTGCCACAAAGAAAGATCAACTTGAAGAATTGGTAGGCAAGTGGATGTAACTTGAGAACATAGTATTAAGTGAAGGAATCAGACACGCAAGCTTTTTTTTTAGTAACAGGAGTCGAACTCAGGACCTTGCAGTAGGCTTGGAGGCAAGCTTGAATACCACATGGTTTCTCTTATATGAGAAACTAAAACACGTATATGAACAAAAGAGAAGATAAATAGGAAATAGAAGTTCAAATAACTCCTTAAATCACCTATTCCATTATTTCAAACTATTTTAATATCTTTGCTAATTTATTTCATTTATACTACTAGTTTCTCTTAGTGCATTGAAAAGCAAGGTGTATGTTATTATCTGTTTCTTCTCTGTAAGGGAGAATCTTTTTTTTTTGTCTGTGTCATGTATTCTGAATAACTACTTTGAAATTAATGATACACAGTGTATTGACTTTTGTCATTCTTGTATTACTTTGTAGTGAAATTTTGTTTTCTTTTTTCATAAAAAAGGAAATAAGGTGCCTCATTTCTTTGGGCACCTGTACTCTGCTCTGAGTGCTTCCTATAGCTATGTCTGATAAACCTTTCTTATGTCTCTTTTAACATGAATGAATGAATGAATGAATGAATACAGGAAAACATGTGTATATTAGTTAAATGTGAATGAGCGAGTAACTAAATGGGTGAATGACGGCTTGCCATTGGTCAGCTCATTAGTTTTCTAATGTCAAATGTTTATATATTTTCTTTTCAAGTGCTGGCCCACATCCCTTAAATAAATAGCAAAAAAAAAAAATGACTATATGAGTTTAAATGTCTTACCTAGGAGGTGGTAAAGGGGTCTGTTAAAAAAAAAACAACGACAGAATTAAATTTGTTTTTCTTTGAGCAGTGGCAATAGCTAAATTTTTTTTGGCTTACAAACAGAAATCATAAATTATGACTAAGCTCTTTAGGGCATATTTTTTAAGACCTATACAAGCTTTTACTTCATCCACAATTCTAAGATTTTAAAGAAAAGAACAACAAACATGTTCTAATTATTTCTCTTACCTTGTTTTCCTGCATGTGTTTGTCCCCTAAAATGTAAAAAGGAATGCCATAAATTTATGGAAAACATTGTCAAGCACTATTCTTATATTTGCTTAAAAGGAAGTGATTCTTACTTATGATTTCAATTAATATTTAATCAGAGTGGTGACATTTGAAAGATCTATATTAGGTGTCCAGTATGATGCTAAACATTTCGGGTTTGTGGTCTTATTAAACATCCTTGTTTTGTGAAATTAAGGCAATTTAAGTTAAATATTTTACCTACAGTCACCCAACTAATAAAGGGCAGAATTAAAATTTCATCACATATAATGTGATAACTCAGGCCCTCTCCTATCATTGGCTCCTATTCATAATTAACATTCATATATGCATAATCATAATATTTAATATTAAATGGAGAAAAGACATCAAGAAATGAATGAAACTACATTGAATGGGTAATATTTACTTATATATTAAATTATACATGTATTTTATGTATATGTATATAATTTTATGCACATGTATATAATTAATTCAAGTTCCTCAGGGTACAAAATCAACATTAAAAAAATAGCTTTTCTGTACACCAATAATGAATTAGCTAAAAAAGAAACCAGGAAACAATACCATTTACTATAGCATCAAAAGAAAAAAACAATCTAGGAATCAACCTAAGGAAGTGAAAGACCTCCACAAGCAAAATTACAGAACAGCAAAGATAAAAATTGAAGAAGACACTAAATGATTGAAAGGCCTCCTACACTTGCAGATAACCGGTATCAATAGTGATAAAATGGGTACAATACCAAAAGCAATCTGCGGAATCATCTTAACCCCCATGACATTCTTCACAGAATTAGGAAAAAAATCCTACAATTATATGAGAACCAAAAGACTCAGAGTAATCAAAGCAATCCTGAGCAAAAACGAAGAAACAAAAACAAGCCTGGATGCATCACAATACTAGATATCAAATTATACTACAAAGCTGTAGTAACAGAAACAGCATGGCACTGGCACAAATAGACACTTATACCCGCAGAATAGAACAAAGGGCACAGAAGAAACTCATGAAAGTACAACCATTTGATCCTGGACAAGGGCGAGAAGTACACTGGGAAGACACTGCCTCTTTAACAATGGTGCAAGGTTAGAACTAGATCCTGATCTCTTACCTGCTACAAAAATCAATCCAAAAGGGATTTTATCTGTTATGCTTAGGGTGCAAGTGCAAAACTTGAAACTTTGAAACTGCTAGAAGGAAACACAGGGGAAACACTTGAAGCCATAGGGACAAGTAAAGACTTCTCGAAGAGGACTTGAACAGCACAGGAAGTAGGAGCAAGAGCCAGTAAAAAGGGGCTACATCAACTTACAAAGCTTCCACACAGCAAGGGAAACAACCAACAGGGTAAGGAGAGAGTCCACTGAATGGGAGAAGATCTTTGCCAGCTACTGTGTGGATAGAAGACTAACATCTAGATATATAAAGAACTCACAATACATACACACACACACACACACACACACAAAATAATAGCTCAATCAATAAATGGGCAAGTGAATTGAATGAACACTTCTCAAAATAAGAAAAAATACATACACACACACACACACACACACACACACACAAACAAAATAATAGCTCAATCAATAAATGGGCAAGTGAATTGAATGAACACTTCTCAAAATAAGAAGTACAACTGATAAAATGTGCAACATCTTTAGCCACTAGGGAAATGAAAATCAAAACTATCCTGAGATTCCATCTCACCTCTCAGTTGGAATTGCTGTCATCAAACACACAGGACACAGTACATGCCGGGGAAGATACGTGTGTAGGGAGGGAGATCTGCTACGCTTCTTGTGGGAATCTAAATAGTATGGGCATTGTGGAAATCAGTATAGCTCCTTACAGAACTAAAAACAGAATGCCCTACGGCCCAGCTATCCCACTCCTTGGTATTCGTGAGAAATAAGTAAAGTCATCACAGTGTAGGTATAAATGCACACCCACGTTTATCGCTCCACAATTCATAATGGCCAACATATGGGCCTGGCCTAGGTGTCCATCAACAGATGAATGGATACAGAAAACATGGCATTTGTACACGCTGGAGAGTGATTCAGCTGTAAAGGAGAACAAAGTTATGTCATTTGCAAGACAACTGAGGGAATTGGAGATCATCAGGTTACATGAAATAAGCCCAACTCCAAAAGACAGGCGTTGCATGTTTTCCTTAACACACAGAATTTAAAAAGATGACATGAAGCAGAGAGAAAATATCATTAGAGGTAGGAATAAGGGGAAAGGAGAGAGAGAGTGCAAGGGAGAGTAAAAGGGAGGAAAGATATGATCAAAACAAACGCAGGTATGAAAATAGCATCAAAACTCAACATTTTATGAAATGAATAGGCACGAGTAAGATATATTTTTTAAAATAATTCAAGTTCCGGTCTGGAAGCTTCACGGAGTATTTCTAAGCACGGGAAAATAGCATCACAGTACTTTCAAGAGTAAAGGGCTTTTGAAGATCCTCCCAAATCCAAGTCTTTATTTTATGGATGAGAAAGTAAGAGTGAAGTAGGTAGAAGGGCATCAACCGACCCCAGAAAAGGCCCGAATGGGGTCTGGTACAGAGTTATCCGATTTTGAGGTACTTTTATTTCCAAGATTCAGTTCCATTCAAAGATAATTCTTGAGCAGAAACTGAGGACAAAGAGACAAACGCCACACTGTCCTTCCCCACGGGCCAGGCGGTGGAGACGACTGTCCTTGCTGCCGAAGCGTCCACTCCTGAGTGTGGAGGTGCACGGAAACCTTCGTGAAAAATGCCCGCATTTCAAGAAGAGGAAGGAGGGGTTTAGGGGCAGATGGAGACCCGAGGGCACCTGGGAGTCTGCAGGAGTCCCTGTGGGAAGCCGTGCTTCTCGGAGGGGCTGAGCAGAGGGCATTTCCCTAGCGGGAGAAGTCACCAGTTTTCCGGACCCGTGACACAGTGAGGTTGGATAGAATCGGTGCTTTCTAAGATCTGTGTTTTTAGCTACGTTCCAGATCTCCCCTGGGAACCTCCAGAACCTGGGGCCTAGGGCCGGGCCTCCCGCTCCTCACCCCAAGTTCCCGGAGGCCCTGCTTCGGCCTGCTTCCCACGGACCTCGCATTTCTTCTGATCAGAGGACCAGCCGGCCCCAAACAGCGTAAAACTGTGGAAGCGGAACTCAGTGCTATAGCCAAGTATTACAGCTCCGAGGCACAGCCAAGTGTTACAGCCGCCGCAGTTTACAGGCTACAGAATCCGAAGGTCACTCGGGGAGGTGGGGAAAACTGTTTATTATGCCAGTGGGTTCGGAGGAGTTAGAGACGGGACCCTCCTTGTATAGGAGTCGAAGGGAAGGCGCCTATGGTCACAGAAGCAAGGGGGAGGGAGGAGTTCAGAACATTCCCGAAAGGGGCCCAGCAAACGGGCACTCCTGAAAGCTCGCGCAGTTCAAACAGTTACAGGACAAGTTTGTTTTTCATTTTTACTTTTTGGTACAGGAAATCGAACTCGGGACCTTGCGCTTGAGAGGCAGGAAGCTGAAGGAACCACTGAGCTAACTCCCTGCCTGGGACATTTTGATACATTGGGCAGGAGGCTGCCCAGTGGCCCAAACTGCTGCATTTCTGGAACAAAACACTGTGTGGAGAAAAACAGGAAGGCAAAGCAAGGCAAGGGCCTGTCTTGCCGTATAGTATTGCTCTATGCAAGTGACGCAATAACACAACACAACACAACGCACACGGGTCTGGAGGGCTTTACTGGCTCAACCAGGTCTGAAATAATGACTTCATGGAATCAAATTACCACACTCTCATTATTATATTTCCCATTTTGAAAATACTTTTATTATACTGCTTTATTTTAATATATGTAGATACTAATAAAGAAAATAACAAGTACTGTTTCTACTTCTGTAAAAAAAATTTTGTAACAGTATAATCAGAGAATAACAATAGTCAAGACACTGTGCGATAATCTTAAGAGAATGGTGAAAAGGTGACTCAGAGTACAAATCAGAGACCAAAAAAAAAAAAAAAATTCTTTCACAAAAAAGAAACAAACATAATAGCAAAGAATTGCAAAATAACAGAGAAATAGAAAGTAGGGACAAGTTCAAATAACACCCCGAATTCTTCTGTTGTTTGAAAAGCATTTCAACATATATGCTAACCTGTGTCACTTATGCTACTAATTTCTCTTAGTTCCTTGTACAAAAACACGATTTTTTTGTACCGGGGATTGAACTTGGGTCCTTGCGCTTGCAAGTCAGGCCACCGAACTGCGGAGCTAAATCCCCAGCCCTACCAAAACACTTTTAAATGAGTAGAACAAACTGACTGTTAATGAATTCCACCCACCAAGTGAACAGAAGGGAGACAGAAACAACAGATGCTCTTGACACTGTAAAAACTCAAACCGGACCCATGATGGACTTCAGCAGCGGCAAGGGCCCAACCCTACCTCTTTGTGCAGTTAAAGATTCCCAGAAAGCTTAGGCCACATGATGTGGCACTATGTTGGAACACATAAAATTAATTTCCCCTTCTTTTGTCTCGCATTGGTGTCACCTATGGAGTTTTCTGGGGTCACCTTGGGGCTGTTGCTAACTTGCCCTGGGAGATGAAAGGCTGGCCTGGGGCAAAGCCACTTCTCCCTCTGCCAGTGGATCCACCCAACTCACAGGGAAAAGTATTCAAGGGTTTCCTGTCATTGGACAGAACTCCCGTTCATTGTCTTAGAGGTGTCTGTTCGGTCCGCCCCAGGGCCTGTGAGTAAAGGAAAGAACATCAGCCTGTTTTTTATTCATTGACTGACGGAGCACAAGGTCTCAGGTATGGGTACATTTTTAATATGTTTATGTGGTGTTACAGAATATAACACCGACGAGTGCAGTGAGCATCCCTTGTTCTCCCGTTCTGGTGGTAGGGGCAGACAATACATAAGCCAAAGTATGAACAAGGAAATCATCGCAGGAGAGAAGCATTGCAAGGACAAGGAAG